GATATGATAAGAATGTTTAAATTTTTATACATATCACCAAAAGAACTTATTTGATGCGTTGGGATTTTGGTAGGTTCCTATGTCAGGTTGTCATGTGTGTGATATTGGAGGTGCCTGGAGAAATGAAAACAGGAAACAGACTGGCCTCGCGTATTAATGTGAAGAATTGTTGTGAATGTGACTAAGTCGTACTGTGAAAGACATTAAATTCATATTTGTTCCACAAAGGGCTAGGAATGCGTCATCAGTGGAGCAGCATACACAGCCGAGAGAAATCGACGCAGACCTATTTTCCCGGCAAACCAACCATCGTCGTATCGTTGGGGGCGAATTAGTTATCCGAACAACTTTCGAAGATGACGGACTTCAGATTTATTGGACTCTATCAATGTACTTATCCAGTTTCTTGGACAATGCAAAACAAATCAACTAACAATGTTAGTATCTTTCAGCTTAGACTCGAAGAAACCATCTACCAGTATTTTCCGACAACTTATACCGAAGAAACTGAACGAAATCAAGCTCATTTCGGATGATAATTCTGGTGGCAGCGAGGAAGATGAGGTTCGCTCATGCATACTCAAGCGCGTGCTTTCTACTGTGCGAGTGTCAACTTGAGTCAAGCAGCACTTTGAACCGGAGCAAATTTAGAAAGATCTTTCAAAGACATGGTTGATGTTTCCGCTCAGCGTACGCTGAGGAACATCGTCTATTCAAGACTCGATCTCTAAATTATGCGAGCCGTAGTCTATTGTCCCATGGATGCATTTCTCTTCCCGGTCGTATATGTATAGGTCCAGCATTTACCGCGTCTGGACCGACGACGCTCACCGACGACGTGTGTCTTATCTTTCAACGTGTTCACACCGTTACTCATTGTTCCGGGCTCTGGGCTCTTTGGAAGCGGATCCAAACTTCTGCCATCCCCACCCATTTTAGTGATTCCACAGTGGGAGTGGGGTGCCTCACTTGTGTGTGCTCCGTGCATCCTGGCCTCTGCTCTACCCGTACCATGCGTGACTCTGTTCCCCCCCCCCCAACTCATTCCGTGGGTATCAAACACATCTGAACTCCAGTGTCACTTACTCTTCTGCAGCTCAAAGTGCAAACTACACAAATCCTTCACATCTATAATATAGTACGTACGAACAACTTTGTTTTCAGGACCTTCCATCATATAAGGAGACTAAGAAGGTATGGAAGTGTGTTATAACAACAGTTTTCTTGTCTCGGCACTATTTACCCTTTACTGCCCCACTCCACGAGAACTGAGCCGGGTTTTTATCGAACATTGCCTTTAGAGGTAATTCGACCCGTAGAACACGAATATCACATTCGTTTACCGCTAGAACGCCTGGCGCTCGCGCCAGAAGCGCCGGCGCCAAAAGGCGCCAGAACATCTCGGATCACCAAATTCGCTGGAAACTTGTCTTCAGAGGTACTTTGACCCGTAGAACATGAATATCACATTAGTTCGTTGCGAGTGAGCCTGTAGCCTGCGCTACGGGCGCCCGCGCAAAACTGTTGTGATAGCGCCGGCGCCTGTGGCGTTTTTTCGCGCTAAACCGGTGTGATATTCGTGTTCTACGGGTCGAAATTACCCCGAACAAGTTTCTAGCCAAATCCACAGTCATGGACGAATTTCGATCAAAATCCGGCTCAGTTCTTGAGGAGTGGGGCAGTAAAGGGTAAATAGTGCCCTTGTCTCTTTCTGTGCATCACGGCTTCGCATTCAGCATGCAAAAAGCAAGAAAAGCGCAGAGAAAGTTAAAAATCCGGGACGATCACCGGCGAAAAGTTGGTACGTCTCATAGCTTATTTCCTAAAACATTACAGACACTTCCTTGGGTCATTCAGATCTACAGGTGATGACGATAGCCTACATAGATTCACCGATGCTAAAGCAGTGCGAAGTCTCCACAAGTGCTTGCTGCTGCCTTTTTTACGACTTTCGTTTAGCCACAAAGCAAGCAAAGCCTACCAGTGTTGTTAGGGCAGGTACTGTTTTAGGGGCTAGCGCGTTGGACCATGTAGACTCCTAGGACTTCCTAGAAAACTCCTACCTACCCACACCCTCGAATTCAGTATACATGTGTACGTATAGTGCCGCGAGAACGTCACGAATCACATTGCGCAAAGGAGAAGTTTTACTGCGGCTCCGGCCAATCATAAACATACTGAG